GGAAATCAGTGAGTTTTTGGCCAACTTTGAGCAGTCATAACTCCTAGCTCAGGATGATCCAGGAGTAGTTCCAGTTATGTTTGGAAAGCCCTTGGAACGATCTTTCCAACGCCACCGAGTTTGCTCGATTTCGAGTTCGTATGAGTGAGTTATGCCCTTTGAAAGTTGGGCAGTTGGCAAGGAGTCCGTCCGGAAATTTAAGGGCATTTTGGTCTTTTCACAAATCTTTTCTTTTGAGGTTATATTATTGTGTTAGGCTGATTGTGGATCATTTTTGTTCCATTTTTAAAAGAGTAAGGGTTAGGGTTCTTGAGTGAAGGAAGAGAAGAAGAAGGTTTCTTGCATCAATTTTCGTGGGTTTTCTCAATACTAAGGTATGGTGGCTCTTTATCTAAAGCTAGTTTTCGCTTTAGAACCAATTTCAAAGGGTTTTCAAATTCTCAAAAGTTATGAAAAACTTCTATTTGTTACTCTACTCAAGGGTTCTTGCATTAAGTGGTTTTAAATGATGGATTGTGATATTGTTGATATTAAATCGATGTTTTCAAGTGAAAAATCTCATGAACCCTTGATTTCACAAATTTCTATATTTGACTTACGAAATGGGTTTGTTGATAATGATTGGGTATTGATGAATTTATGCTTAGAATAGATTGTATTGTTGATGTTTATGATTTTCTATATCTATTGATTAATGTTGAGGATGGGTTTGGAGGATGGTAAGTTGGCTTAATCTCATATTATTGATATAATTGTTCTTGCTTGGTTTGATCCACTTATGGTGGAGGTGTTTAATTATGGATTGTATTATGAATATGGCCTTGAAGGCATTATCTATTGAATTAAAGTGTTATCAAGTTATGAAGTGTTATAGTACTATGTGAAGGTAAATATGTGAAGGTATTCTTATGGTTATAAGGTGATCTTGTACAAAGTGTTATTGTAGTGTGATTGAAAGTATGTTCTCTTTAAATGTCCATATGTGACGATTGTTGTTGGTAGGTTGAATCCACCTTTGGTGGAAGTGTTATATCTTGTCTTGTGTCTAAGTATGGGAGAGGTGTTTTGGGAAATGTTTTAGAGATGGGAATTGAACTAATGGTATATAGGAAATAATATATGTCATTTGGAAGAAATGGTCCAACACTTAGAAAATATTTTGGGCGGATGAACAGTAAATGAACAGTAATTTAGCTACTGGAATTTCCGTTTTCTGCCGGACAGACTTTACGAAAATGGGCATAACTTCTTCGTCCGAACTCCGAATGAGGTGAAACGAAGTGCGTTAGGTAGCTAACTCAAAGGGCTTTCCATGGATATATTATTGTCCACCCAAATAATTTGTGTGCTAGGAGATATGACCCTCCAAAGTAGACCCTCGAAAAAGGCTTCACTTGGAAATTTCGGATTTTGATACGGTTGGTTTAAAATTTGGGTTAGACCCATTTCCCACTCAATTTGACCCCCTAAACAAGAATATGAAGTCGGATTTTCGAAAAACGAAACGGATCTTTTTATATACAGCTAAACAAGTTTCCGGTAACTTCCGAAGCACATTTTTTTTAAGAACTTTTGGGTCAAATTCAAATATAATCATTTCATTAAGTTCTCGACTCCAAACTCACATGTGAGGCTCTAGTTTCACTCTATCATTTTCCTAGTCGTTACAATGCATGATTTGATCATAATTATAACATATGCTATACAATTACTTTATGATTATGAACTAAGTTTTGGCGATATTCATGCATTATGAATTGAAGAATTTATGAATCAAGGATGCTTTCAGATAAAGTATCAAGCATGTTTTATGAAATAGATTACTTCCGATTGAATTATTGGCATTATGAAAAGATGATCATGCTTTCACAGAATGATGCAAGTTGTATATAGACAAAGTTCGATTATTTTTGTTAGCCTTTAGTATAAAAAAAATTGAAGTTTGATATTTTTGCTCGAAGTCAAAACATTTGTATGATCTTAAGCATATAATTGAGTGTGCTGTTATTTAGTCTAATTCTTCAACTATCCTTTTAATTAAAGTAATCAAATCCTAATCCTGTTGGAATTGGACTTGGCCCAACACCTTCAGCTTAGTATTTTGGAAAATAAAAAGACTAATAAAACACTTTTAGAATAAAACACTTAAAAAGGATGTTTGGATTGACGTATTTTTAGTGACACTTTTTTCTTTAGGTTTGGATAACACAAAAAGAAAGTCTTTTAAGTACTTTTTTTAAAGTCAAAGAACACAAAAAAAAAGCCAAAAGTTAGTTACCAACTTATGACTTTTGGCTTTTAACTTATAAGTCACTTTAAAAAAGTCAATCCAAACACCTCCTTAAAAACATCTTCTTTGAGGAAAACATTCTCGAGGAAAACGTGTTGTGACACTTATGTGCATTTCAGTATCATCATCGAGGTTCCAAGGTATACTTTTTCTTGTTAATGAGCCTCTTCTTAAGAAGCAACACTAAATAATTGATATTTCACTTTGTGGTAAAAGAAATCAATTTCTTTGTTCATATATATTGAATGTGAGCTTACTAGCCATGTGAGAGCAGTTGAGAGAAGAATCGAGAATAGAGGAGATACAGAGGAAAAATTGAATTAACCGACTTACTTGATCAAATGAGAAAAGGTCCCTATTTATACATCTTCTGACTAATTAACTAACTTTTAATTAGCATTGTAACTAACTAATGACATATTAACAAACTCAACTAACTACAACTAATTACACATTGCATTCATTCTAACACTCCCCCTCAAGTTGGATGGTGGAAAATGTCCAGCATTCCTAATTTGAACAACATGTCATTGTGTAATTGCTTTCCCAATGCCTTGGTGAAAATATCTGCCACTTATTCTCTGCTTGCTATGTATCCAGTCTTAACTAATCCCTCTTGCATCCTTTCTCTGATGAAATGACAATCGATCTCTATATGTTTTGTTCGTTCATGATACATGGGATTTGACGCAATTTGAATTGCTGCTTTATTATCACAGTGTAACTCCATCGGCAACTCAACTTGAGCTCCAAGTTCTTGCAATAATCCTTGTAGCCACACCAGCTCTGCTACAGTTGTTGCCATACTCCTATATTCAGCTTCAGCTGAACTCCTTGAGACTGTGTTCTGTTTTTTTGACTTCCAAGAAACCAAAGATTCACCAATCTTAATACCATAACCTGTTACAGACTTTCTAGATAACACACATGATGCCCAATCAGCATCACAATAAGCATTGATCTTTCCTGACTTCTTGCTGCTCATCAATAGTCCTAAGCTTGGTAGCGCAATAACACACCGTACAGTCACTATTTTCACCATAGGGGAGAAGGTATCATGGTAGTCCAAACCTTCTTGTTGAGTAAACCCCTTAGCAACCAGTCTGGCCTTATATCTTTCAACACTGCCATCAGCTTTGTACTTAACCTTATACACCCACTTGCAACCAATAGGTAATTTTCCTGGAGGCAAATCAACAACCTCCCACGTATGATTGTCAGTGAGTGCTTGAATCTCTTGGTCCATAGCCAAAATCCAATTACTATTTTTGGAAGCCTGGTCAAAAGATGAAGGTTCTGAAATAGAAGAGGAAAATGTGGAAAGATAAGATTTATAAGAAGGTGTGATATTAGAGTAGGACATGGAAGTAGAAATAGGATGAGGTGTTTTGAAAGTAGTGACATAGTCAGTATGCCAGATGGGTGGTTTGGTGGATCTAGAAGATTTTCTTTGAGGAACTTCAGGAAATGGAGGTGGAAGATAAGGAGATAGAGGTGATGGAGAGGGAGGAACTGAGGGTGGAGGAATGGTATGTAAATTGATGTATTGAGGATCAGGTGTGAGAAGAGGACTGCTGGGTTGAGGGTCTGAAAAAAAAGCAGGAAAACAGTCATCTGCAGGATTAGGGAATGCTGATAAAGGGACTGGAAAAGTGGAAGTATGAGAAGGAGGTTGAGCATCTAGAAAATTATGTTTGGGATGTTTAAATGGAAAGACATCCTCCTTAAAGGATACATCCCTATTGACAAAAAAAGAACCTGTGGCAATATTGTAAAGTTTGTAACCTTTTTGTGTATCAGAATAGCCCACAGAAGGAATTGCCTTGGGGGAAAATTTGTCAGTGGTGACTGGTTTGGTGGCATAACATAAGCAGCCAAAAACTCGCAAATAGTGTAGTTTGGGCACTTGTTTATGAAAGACTTCATAAGGAGATTTTCCTCCCAAAACAGATGAGGGAAGTCTATTTATAAGAAAGGTGGCTGTAAGTACACACTCCCCCCAAAACTTTAAGGGTGCATGAGCCTGGAACCTGAGTGCCCTTGCCATTTCAAGAAGATGTCTATGCTTTCTTTCCGCAATGTCATTTTGTTGCGGTGTGTGGACACAAGTACTCTGGTGAATGATACCAAGAGAAGTAAAAAGAGTGTGACATTGTGAATTAAAAAATTCAAGACCATTATCTGATCGAACAGTTTTAATAGAAGCTGAAAACTAATTTTTGATGAGATTAATAAAGGTTGTGATAAAAGTCACAACTTCACTTTTGTATCTCAACAAGAAAATCCAAGTCATTCTAGAATAGTCATCAACAATGGTAAGAAAAAACCTATGACCATTATAAGTGCATTGCTTATAAGGTCCCCAAACATCCTTATGTAGAATTTCAAAAGGGGATACAGTTTTCTTAGTGCTAGAAGGGAAAGGGAATCTAGTTTGTCTTGCAAGAGGACACACAGGACATGAATGAAAAACTTTATTCTGCAATTGAGGCCTTAGTGAGTCTATTTTGTGTAGCACTGTAATAGGGGCATGATCGAGTCTCATATGCCAGATGGAAATGTCTGTTGGAGAAGATGGGCAAAAAACAGAATGAATGTTTGAGAATGCAGTGGCAGGTGATGGTGGCTTTGGCTGCTTGGTAGGTGGGAGCATGTAAAGGCCTCCTTCTTCCTTACCAATCCCCCTCACCTTGCCAGTGCAAAGGTCATGAAAAAGACAAAAATGAGGATAGAAAGAAACACAACAATTGAGTTCTTTAGTAAGTTTGGAAATGGACAAAAGATTGTAAGAAAATTGTGGAATATGAAGGACTCTCTGAATGTTATAATGGTCAAATAAGGTTGCAGAACCAATGTGAGTAACTTCTGCGGTTTGACCATTTGGAAGATACACATTGCTGGAATTGGAAGGGATAACTTTGGGATTTAGTAATGTATTCAAACTATGGACCATATGATCAGTTGCACCAGTGTCTACAATCCAAGGAGTTGCATCATTACCTGCAGCAAAACAACTAATAGATGTACTGAATGTATAAGGAGAAATAGAAGGGTTACCTGCCATGTTAGCAACATGATTTTGAGGTAAGGAATCTTTGTCAATCATTTTCAGCAGATGGTTATACTGATCAGCAGTAAATGTTGGCACAGTAGGAAAAGAAGCAGATTCAGGAGCATTGTTTTCAGAAAAATTGACATTGTTGACTTGAGACCTTCTACTACCCCCATAGTTCTGCATTTTGTCATTGCCATGATCCTGACCTTTGAAGCCTCTATCATCCACATTTTTCTTCTTTGTGAACTTGTAATTCTGAGGATATCCAATCAATCTGTAGCAATTGGCTCTTGTGTGGTTTCTCAGATGGCAATGATCACAATATAACCCTGTGTTCTGGTTAAATTTGTTATTGTGTATCGAGGCTAAAACAGTGGAATCATTGACATCCAATTTCTGCAAAGGTAGGACACAATTTGATATTAAGCTAGACTGAATTTTCTGACTTTCATCCTGCATGATCATATTGTAAGCTTGGTTGAGACTTGGGCTTGGAACTATCATGAGTATCTGACTTCTCGACTGAGCAAAGCTATTGTTCAATCCCATTAAAAACTGCATGAGCTTTTGTCTCTCCATATGTTCTGCATATACTCGATACTTATCACATTCACATGCTGGCAGGGGAACTAAAGACACATACTCATCCCATAGATTCCTCAACTTTGAGTAGTATTCAGAAACAGTAAAGGTTCCTTGACATATTGTACTAATCTCTCGATGAATTTGGTTTATCCTAGTAAGATTTCGTTTGTCAAATCTCTCCTGTAAATCCTTCCAAACGTTATGTGCATTATACGAAAACATTAAGCCATTTGCTAGTTCCTTCGAGACTGAATTAGTTATCCATGATAGCACAAAAGCATTACACCTATCCCATTCATGTATGAGATCACCTTTATAATGATCTCTACGGCATTTTCCATCAATAAACCCAATTTTATTTTTAGCCAACAATGCTACTTTCATCGAATTACTCCATCCAGTATAATTCTCAATACCAGTAATCTGTTGAGGAATTAAAATGCTACCTGGTGTATCTGATGGATGCAGATACAAAGGATTTCTGGGGTGAATATCTGTGAATCTCTCGATCTGTTCTGGAATTGAGGTATTCCTCTCCTGATTCGAAGTTTCTGTAGAATCAACTCCAGCTCCAGCTCCGTTCGCCATTATCAAATCGAATCGGTGAATGAATTTATGATTTTCTGGTGAATTAGTGTTTTTCCAGTGAGTGAATTATGTCGGTGACCAACTGATCTTCCAATTCTCGAATTGTGCGGAAGAAAAAAACTCTCTAGAACAGCTAGAATTTCATCGGAACCTACAACTTTGATACCATATTGAATGTGAGCTTACTAGCCATGTGAGAGCAGTTGAGAGAAGAATCGAGAATAGAGGAGATACAGAGGAAAAATTGAATTAACCGACTTACATGATCAAATGAGAAAAGGTCCCTATTTATACATCTTCTGACTAATTAACTAACTTTTAATTAGCATTGTAACTAACTAATGACATATTAACAAACTCAACTAACTACAACTAATTACACATTGCATTCATTCTAACAATATACTTGTCATTCATTTCATGCTTTCCTCCCTTTGCTCCATTTTGTTAAAGCTTATAGACCTTAGAGGACTAAGTATGTATATATTTGTATGCTTTCCTCCCTTTGCGCCTTTTCGTTAAAGCTTATAGACCTTAGAGTTTTTTTGTGTTTTTTGCTTTTGATAGCACTGAATTAAAGAAAATAAGAAATACTCAACACCAGAGTTAATAAGTGTATAACAAACATGACAAGGGAGAAACTGAAGCACAGATTATAAACTAGCAAAAGTAATAATTTAAATTCAGGACTTCAAACAAAAAAGAAAAAACTTAACAATCAAATTCTGAGACAGAGACTAATTTTACAATATCACAAGTACTCCAGGATTTTTCACTACCAGTTTGCAATGCCAAGGAGGCCTTTTCCTTTCAGTTTTTCGTCGTGTTCCAATGCTCCTCCCTGTTGATGATTTAAACAATCATTTAGTGATAAAACATTGGAGGAACTCCAACCTCAGTTATGCCTTCAAGCATTTGCATCACTATTTTCATTGAAGGTCTAACAGTTGGATCAGGATGGACACACCACAATCCCGCCTTGACGAATCGTTCAAGTCTTTTAATATCATTCAATATTTCAGGATCACTCCTTGCAAGTTTGTCAATTCTACCACTTCTCACACAGCCTGAAACCCAATTTACATGCAATAAATCATCACCTTCATCGTCTTCGCTCTCTTCCTCTACCCTGCTAAGCTCAATATGCCTTCTACCACATGTGATCTCTAGTAACATTACACCAAAACTAAAAATGTCAACTTTGGGTGTTATTGGAGCATTCTTTAGCCATTCTGGTGCTAAATATCCCACTGTCCCTCTTGCACAAGTATCTGTTCTTGTTTGATCCTTCTTCAAGAGTTTCGATAGCCCAAAATCTGAAATCTTGGCATTGTATTTGCTGTCAAGAAGTACATTTTGAGGCTTTATGTCACAGTGGATGATTGGAGAATCACATTCTTCATGTAAGTAAAGCAGTCCTCTTGCAATTCCTGATGCCATTTCAGTTCTGTGACTCCAAGTAGGCAGTATTTCTTCCTTGAACAAAAAATCTGATAAAGCTCCGTTCTTCATCAACTCGTAAACCAAAATGAAATGATTATCCTCAATGCAAAATCCTAATAGTTTTACCAAATTCTTGTGATGAGTTCTGCCTATGATTTTTAGCTCTGTCATGAATACGTTCTCACTTGGCTCTGCAACGTCTTTCATCAGCTTCACTGCAATCTCTACTTGAACATCCTTTAACTTTAGATTACCATAGTAAACTTTTGCAGAAGCTCCTTTTCCAAGTTGCTTGCTGAAGCCATTTGTAATTTCATGCAGTTCTTTGTATGTGAACTCGCGGAAATTGATACCTATTCTTGATGAATTTGGATTCCACTCTCGTTTTAAAAGTCTCCAAGGAGCAGGATGATAGTAAAAAGCCAAGGCTCCAAATAGGAAAGTAAGTGAACTGGTAGTTATAAGGCCAGCAGTGAGATGGGCTCTGGTGTTGGATTTCTTTTTTGTTGATATGTCATCTTTAACTGACTTAATAGGCACCTTGATGAAGGAAACACTACCTGTGGTCATAGAAATTCTACGGGCGTTGAGTATAGGAGTACGCCTCTTGTGACATTCCCTATTGATTAGAGAAGCAGCCATGGCATAACAATCTTCCATGATAACTTTCTTGCATTCCTCCTCGTCAACATCACGATAAATTTCATAATCCCCAACCTCATTGTAAGGCATGTCACTATTCTGAATAGCCTCTATTGTGAAATTTCCGCTAGATAGATGACCTGCACAGAAGTTGATCATTGTCTCTGGATGACAACCTTTGGTAGGATTACTTGGATCCAAGAAGACATACCCCGGAAGACAGTCACAATTTACAGTTTCATTATCATTTGAGCTGCAGAATCCATAAGCCCCACAAACAGCATTAACCATACATGGCTCTGAAGGGATCTTCAAAACTCTAATCCAATTGCTACCATTAGTCTTATGATAAGCATACTGCTGGAAGTTGCCAAAACTGTCTATAGTTGCACGGTGGTAGTAGTCTTCAACTGGGGTTGGCACATTCAATGGAAAAGAAAAAATTGTGTTATTGTTATCTTTCACAAGGTACAAAGATGCATTCCTCTGGTCGAAAACTAAATTCACTTCACGGTTTCCTTCATCATCTAAACTACTCAGCCAATATCCTGTATCCCCAAAATGATAAGCAGATAGTACCAATTTTCCATCAAGTTGCATTTCTAGCATGAAATTCCCTTTAGAGTACTTGGAATTCCCATCTGAAATAGAATTAGAATAGAGCTTTCCTGCTGATGATAAAGTCTGTCCTGGCAAAAGTGTATCAGTGGGAGATTTAAAGCTTTCCCAAACTTTATTTGAACTTGAGTCTCTCAACACAAGATTTCCATCATCTTGCATGGTTCCCAACCTTGCAGACTCATTGTAAATCTGTTGAACTGTGCCATTAGCATAGTTGAGCACAAGCTGACCACCATTTGTTAGACTAATAGTTGATCTGATTTCAGCTGGATTGTCGCGATTTGCTGACCAGACAAGTGTTGTTTCCTGGATTTTGTTGAACCAAATTCCTACTAGGAAAAGAGTATCTGAAACAGGATAAAATCCGAAGGCAAAGTCCCCAGACAAGGATAACAAAGAAACATTTTCTCCAGCAGTGAAAGTAGAACCTATGCTAATATTTGGATTATTTTGGCCATTTGACTGATGATGAAGGACTAGGAGGAGGAATGCAAGAAGATTAAGAGATATTCTCATCTTGTATGAAATCAGAAGGCCTTGGTTTAGACAATAGGAAGTAACAAATGATTTCATATACACAATGGCTCACTATATTTCTTGGTCTAACCAGAAATTGTTTGTACTATCAAAGCCATCAACTTTGACACTTGAACTTTGGTCTTTTTTCTAAAAAACTCTCTTTGACTATTAGCTAGTGGTGGACTAGAGAATTGGTCATGATAACGCCTTTTTCTGTCTATCTATTATTAATGGTGAAAAGAATGATTGAAAACAACACAAGAGTTGATAATTTGATTTTGATGACTTAAGTTTATACATATAAAGACGGAATTGAAAATTCAACTTATGATATATACACATACCTGGTTCATTTTTCCCTCAATGAATATGTGGGGAAGGTGTTCAGCTTCTGACTGATGTTGACATGTTACCAAAATCACATTGATTGGAACTTTGACAACTTCTTCATGCTTCATAGTAAGTAGAACTCTAACTAAAGAGAGAAAGGATTTCATGGCCAAAGATAGAACAGTTCATTAACAGTTTCTCGAAAAACAGTTTCAAGAAACACCATGGAGATGCAAAATAATTCATAGTGCTTCGTGTATAAGAATTTATACTAATGCTTCTCCAATATTGGACTAATCGATGACCCATTTTCTGCTTGAAAATGAAGTGATTGCTTATTACCGTGAACTTGAACACAAGCATTAGTGACATTATAAAATACTCTTCAGAAGGAAAAGTGTAACTCACTTGAGAGAAAAAAACACTAACTTTTGCACCAGAGAACTATGAGAAAAAACAATGAAATTTAACCAGGTCTAATGATTAATAAAACAGAATGACACTTAATTGTTGGAAAAATTACAAGATAATACAGAAAATGGCTCATATAGTTGTATCAACCATAGGAGGAACACCTAGTTCTATAGTTCCTTCCAACATCTGAACAAGCTTTGCTGCAGATGGTCGAAGATTCGGCTCAGGACACAAGCACCATAGGCCAACCATAGTCATTCTCTCAAAATTGTGAAAATGTAACATAATTTCTTCATCAAGACTAGCAACAGCTCTCAGCTTCTCGTTTCTCACACAATGAAGAACCCAATCGACTAAGATCAACTCGGGTTCTTCATTTTCTTGGCCGATTGGGTTCAAGTCCATGTGCCTTTGGCAGAAAATAATCTCAAGCAGCAAAACACCAAAACTGTAGATGTCAACTTTGGTTGTCACGGGCACATTTTTTAGCCATTCTGGTGCCATATAACCCATGGTTCCTCTAAAATTCGTGTTTGTTCGCGTCTGGTCTTTCATAAGAAGCTTTGCAAGACCAAAATCAGCAATTTTTGCAGAGTAGTTCTTGTCAAGAAGGATATTCTGTGGCTTAATGTCGCAATGAATGATCTGGTTCTCACACTCTTCATGCAAGTATAACAGGCCTCTGGCAATGTCAAGTACTATGTCACTTCTTAGCTTCCAGCTTGGTTTTTGTCCATCGCGAAAGACAATATTTGACACGGCCCCATTTTTCATTAATTCATAAACAACAAGCCTGTTGCTTTTTTCATTGCAGAAGCCTATCAAATGAACCAGATTTTTGTGATGTGTTAGGCCTATCACCCTTACTTCTGCCAAAAATTCTTTATCATCACCTTGTTCAATTCCATTTCCTAATTTCTTCACAGCAACTTCAACTTCTTCATCCTCTAACTTGAGAATTCCGCTATAAACAGCACCAGAAGCTCCTTGGCCTAATTTATTCTTGAAACCGTTGGTGGCTTCGTGCAGCTGCTGGAACAAAAATGCCCTTAAATTCATCTCAATTGCCTTTCTTTTTGGAGGGGTTTTGGCATCTCTATGTTTCTTCACAAAAGGGTGATAATATATAGCAATTGCTGCAAAAAGCGGAGCGAGTACTGAACATACTGTCACACCTGCTACCAAAACACCCTTTGAAATAGAGTGCTTTTTGTTTTGAGTTATCGAAGAGTTGCTAATTTTAAGAAATGCAACCATGTTATTTGTATCAGGATTAATACTTCTGGCATTCTGTATAGGCATCCTCTTCTTGAAACATGTTGAATCATTAAACACAGCTGCCTCACAAAGACAATCATTCAACACTTCCTGCCTGCAAAGCTCCTCTGTAGTATCAAATACCCTTTCTAGTTCAGCATACATCCTATTAGGGAAATCAGCATTAGAGATCCTTTCAACATAGACATCCGAAAGGGAAGAATTCGGATCACAAAAATCTTTCATCTCATTCGGATAACATCCTTTAGATGGAGTGTACTGATCCCTTGGAGAATAGCCTGGCAAGCAACTACAATTGGCTTCCTTATTGTCTGGTGATTGGCAAAAGCCATATACACCACAAATGTTATTCACAATACAAGGCTTCACGATAACTTGCAGTGCAACATTCCAACCGCTCCCATTTACTTTTCTGTGGAAGAGCTGTTGGAAATCTCCTTTATCAGTGATCATAGCTCTGTGGTAATAATCTCGAACTGAATCAGGCAACTTCTCTGTCAATGTCATGTTGGATATGATAGAGCTTCCATTTGTAATGAGCAAAGTATCACTGGTGTTGTCGAAGACCAGTCTTACATTCTTATTGTTTTCAGTTATAGAATTCCAGTAGCCAATATCAGCAGTTCTATATGCAGACAAGACCACATTCCCATCAGTCTGCATCAGTAGTCTATACTTCCCCGTCGAGTAATCTACTGTCCCATTGGCACTGGAAAACAGCGCCTGCCCCATATCAAGATATTGACCAGGCAAAATTGTATCTGTTGGGAAATCAAAGCTTTCCCACAAGACACCTGAGGATGAATTTTTCAGGACAAAATTTCCATCATCTTGCATAGTATCATGACTAGTGCCTGTGCCATTGTACAAAACAAACTCTCTCCCATTAGTATCTTTCAACACGAGGCGTCCACTCAACGTTAGATTAACCTTTGATCCAGCATGAACTGGATCATCACGATTGGCTGACCAAACGAGAGTGTTATCGGGGATTTTATCAAACCATATTCCAACAAGGAATAGTCCAGTACTGTTAAGATGGTAGAAACCAAAAGCAAAATCTCCAGAGGATGAAAGCCAGTGTGAAGATTCAGTTCCAGCTGTGATATTGGAACCAAGAGGGACAATATTTGTAGTTTCTTGACAGAAAGAGCTAATAAATGCAAGATAAATTGAGACAAACCATAACAGGATTTTCCAAGAAACCATTGTTGGAATCTTATGGAAAATACTTTATTCTTTTTGAGATATTATAACTTAGATACAAATGGAGAATTAAAATCTTTTAGTCAAAAGGCCATGATTCAAAGACTTGCATAATATAATGCAGAAGGCTATGATTATGAGGTCACTGGAATGTGTGGAATTCTTTTCATTTGTCTTGCAATATAAGTCACATTCTTATTACGCCTCTACCCCAATTTATGTGGCACCATTTTACTAACACAAAATTTAAGAAAAAAGGGTGACTTTGGAAATTTTTGGTCTAAAACAAATCTTAGATATTTATGTGACTATAAATCATTTTACCATTGGTAAAAGAGAAATTTTAAAGTTAAATTCTTCTTACTATTGAAAGATGACATTCTTTTGGAATGGATTAAAAAGTAAAGTCTGCCACGTAAATTGGGACAGACGGATTACATTATCTAGAAAGAGTCTATATAGATTGTGGTAAGCCAAGTCATGAAAATGACAGGAAGATTTCTATGCACCATGTAAATTGGGAGTTGGTCCAAAATGAGTACTTGATATAAGACTAGTCTTCTTCTTTATATGCATGCACCTGACTAGTCTTCTTCTTTTATACTTTTTCTAAAGATAATTGCAGTAAACATGAACAATTTGGGATTCAATTACTTCCATAGCTAAGAATGAGAAACAAGAAACCAGTGAATGAAGCATAAACAAACTACTCCTTCCGTTTCAATTTGTTTGTCTGGTTTTGACTTGACATAGAGTTAAAGAAAAGTAAAGAAAGCTTTTGAATCTTATCAAGTTAAACTAAAAATACGTAGAATGTACCAAAATATCGCTTAATCTTATGGTCTTAAGCATGCCACGTGGAAAGCTAAAAGCAAAGAGTTGCAGAAAAAAGGAAATTTTTTTTTTTTTTTGCAACGGACTACAAAGAAAAGTAAGACAAACGAATTAAAACGGAGGGAGAAAACAAGTTGAGTATCTTTCTAGTGATGATGAAATTTTCCAACCAAGCTTTTTCCTGGAAACTGCAAGTCTTCTAATACTTAAAGTTTTCTTGAAAAATCTTTTTATCTTTCTAGTCATGACCATGACTTTAGTAAACACATGCATTAAATTTATGAAAGTGATCTTCACCAATGAGAGTACTATAGAAGACTGAGTCAATCTTGGCAGCATGATGAAAAGACATTGATCAAAGCCAAAACCAACAATTAATTGATCTTTGATTGCACTTTAGAATACACATGTGTTGACACTTGAAATTTGATCCAGACTTAAAACAAGGATCAGTTGAACCTAAAATGACTTGTCAAATTGTTGAGTTAATTTCTCAAACGCTCATTCAACTAACACTTTTTATGTATCTCATGAAGTTAGACAACTTTGTTTAATAACACAAAAATTAATCAACTTTGTTTTGTAATCAAAAAGTCACTCAACCATTCTTAAAATTAGCTTTTAAAAAATTTCACCATCGGAAATATAACTTGAATTGGTTAAGTGACTTGTTGGTGAAATAGCAATAGTTGAGTGACTTCGTAGCAGTAATTCAAACTTTAACTCGAGAAAACTTGATGCTGCACCAAGAGAATAATTTGAAAAAGAATTCATTGGTGCTAATTTGGTAACTCATCACACATATATGCGAATATTATTGATTAACATAGAAATACGCGTGCAACGCACTAGTCCAACAATGGGTTTCTTTCAAAGAAATTTGTTGGCCGGAGCTCAAAAGCATCATAGATTGTTGGCATTATAGGATAATCTTCTTGGCAAGGTACATGATGAAATCCAAGTGTGTACCAAAGCACAATATCCTTCTTTTCAATTGATCTATTCCTGCATACATTAAATTTTTATACTATTAGTAGCAAGTATTTTTCAGGTTAGTAATCCCATATTTTAACGATGGTGCGTGTAGTTATCTTTAGATGAATTGATAGTGTAACTATTATAGCATGTACCTTATCTTATTCTTCAGTTTACTATTTTTTCGATCTTTTTTATGAACTGTTACGTGTAGCTGTTTCATATGAAAGGCATGCTTAATATCTAGTGACAAGAGAAGATTTTACCTTCCACTCCAGACTGTGAGTCCATCATCACCATGACTTCTATCAGCATAAAACCCAGCAGCCCATCTTTCTGACTTGTTGTAAGGAGTCACCCACAATTGATACTTAGTATAAGCTGCTCTAATTTGAGGGTAATCATCATCTGTTAACAAAGACATAGATGGTCTACTAGGAATTAGCTTATAACCTACATCATTACCAACTTTACTCTTTTTTTCAGTGTTAACAAACAACAATTCAGCTGCTTCTATCCCAAGTTGTGTCCTGCCTTCAGATTCTGTTTTCATAGTTTCTTTAACAACACTCCAATAACTCTTCCTTGGTGACATTTTCTGATCTTTCACTCTTGTAGTTTTCAGTTTGGCTTTCAAGAATGAATTTTTACTACCATCCACATCAAGATCAATGCGATACGTAAGGAAATGATCATGGTTCACTGCAATTGTGTTTTCTGCCACAAGAGTACCGTAAACATCCTGATTTATTTGATCGTGGTTCGTGTATTTCACAGCCTTCATCTCCATAATCCCTGTTAGACTTGCCTTCGCCAACGAAAAAGGAAAAATGTAAGACAAAAGATTAAGGTGATTTTGATTGACTAGCTATAGTATCTTATAATTTCTTACTCCAACTTTAATGGATCCACTTTGTTTGAACTCCCAATCAAGTATATAGTCATAATTTCCAACTGTTGTTACCATTCTGATCACCAAATTAACTTCTTTCTGTCCCTTGGTGTTCTACAAAAGCCATAGAGTTAATTATGTTAATAGAGTGATCACAATTTACTAGAGAAATCGAAAAGTTAGAGGCCTACTAATGTTCCAGGTACTCCAATTTCTGTATGCCTCCATGCAGCATCACCAGCATATCGTTCAAAAATGCAAATAGCTCGAGGGACTTGTACTACTTGACCTACTGAATCAGCCATGTAACCATCCATATACACCGCATTGTTTGGACAGTCCAACGACTGGACAAGGGTGCTAGCCGATCTCCCAAAACCAAATTCACCAACATCCATAAATGTCCTGTAGTACCATTCAAACGTAGGATCCATGTAAGGCACGAATATCTCAGAGACATGACCTTTATAGAGTACACGTCGATATTCATTTCTCACAGCATCGAATATAGAAGCTGTAGATATGATCATCCCTGCTCTAGTATTGAATCCAACATGAAGTTTCCAATTAGCCCAACTAACTTCATGACCTTGGATGTTTATCCTGAAGGATCCTGTTTCATTGCAAGTAACTGATCCCTGGCTCGACGAATTGAAATCAGCATCTTTTGCTTCAGGCAATGGGGATCTGAATCTATCCAAATACTTAATAATCTTCATTGATTCAACATCTACTAGTATAGTTATTCCTTCAATAGGCCTTGCCCAAAAGTTAGTAGTTCCTCCAAGATAAAAACATGGAACACTAAGAACTCTAATGGTCTTTACCTGACCAAACCATCCAACTGATAGTGGTATGCAGCTGACTTCAGATATATTCAATCCCCTCCGCGAAATCGATTCTTGAAATTTAGGATTACTCAATGGCAGGATGCTAGACTGTATAAGTTCATTGAGAGTAAAAGGAGGAAAGCCATGACCTAAGTACAACTTTTGTGATATGATAGAGCTAGTAACCAAGTCTAGTGTGAGTTCATGTGACTCACCATTAGCGCGAACTACTACCCTGGCTCGACGATAAGGAAAAGAGGCATTTTGTAATTTATGAGAGGAAAGCCAATGCAGGACATCATTCTTTTCTGGTTCATCAAGATCTACATAATGAAATGTTACATTTGAAAGGTGGGATTTTTGGATAATGACTCTAATTTTGTTGATTTCATCAGGATTAAGAGGGTCTAAAGGATGACATTGACAGTAAATAGAAAAGAACAAGAAGAAAAATGCAACAGAAATGTGTAATACTTTTATCAGTTCCATCAAGAAGTAGTGCTCTCAATTCATATGATGTTTCCACCTATATATAGCACTAGTCTCTGGAACGTGCGTTTTCACGCTTAGCCCTTATTATTATTATTAAATTTTTTATATATTTTAAGGTTGAGTAACAAAATAGAAAATGTTGAAATCAACAATGGACTATAAGAGGCTACAATCTACATCTACTCAAAAGGTTGAAATTTTCTGAAGAAGCTAAGCCTCGGGAAAAAAAAACCACATATGGTTAAAAAGACAGTATTTTTACCATTTATATTTTATTCGTTCATTAAATAATATAAAATATAATAGATGATTTATTCGAGCATTTTGTTGTTATTCCTCATTTGCAGTTTCTAATTCTTTTTTTCTTCTCATGTTAAATTGGGCGATTTCCTTTATTTGATCTCCAAAAGTCATTAACATTTTAATTAAAATGATATAATTTAATATTAAAATAATTAAATATTTTATAACATTTTGATTTATAGCAAAGGTAAAATCGTAATCTAACTTTTAATTTTGATTCTTCTCACTTTAATAATATACGATGATTTGACATCTTGTTATCTTTCAGGAGATTTGATATTATAGTCCTTTACAAATTTGTTTTTATAGTATTATATTCTTATTACAATTTTACACGAGAGATATTCATTTTTTATAGGAAAAATTATGCAAGTTGGCAAACATTACTTGTTTATTATTCAACGAGGTTACAGTTTTAATTAATTAATGTACGTGACTATAGTTTAGTATAATGGGACCACAAACAGATTGTATATCAAAAGAAAAAGACCCCTTTCATTTGCTATTAATTATGGGACCAAAAACAGTTTGTATATCGAAAGAAAAAGATGTCTTTCCTTTGTATACTCAATTATACAAATCAAATTTTATCTTTTCTCTCTCCATTTCCAAATTCTCTCCTACAATCATTCATATACATTGAATTTGAATTTCAAAATCTACTTTCTCTCGTAACCGTCCAAAACGTGTTTCAATTGCTTTTTTATATTTTTTATTTTGTATATGATTTATGCTTGTAATATTTTTCACAAAAGTCTTTTCTTTTTTTTTAAAATCATTTTTTTCCAGGAAAAAAT